TCCTCACCTGGTGGAGCAGGTCCTGGTAGTCCCAGGCGGGGTCTCCCATGGCCCAGAGTGAGGCTTCAGAAGCAGGGGCACCCAGAGACCTGGCCTTGGCCACACCTGCCCCCTGCCCGCCTTGCCTTTCCGCAGCCTCTACCTCTCAAGTGTGGGCCCCTTGGCTCTCTGAGCAGGCCCGGCTGAGAGATGAGAGAGTTTTTCTAGGAACTCTGGTGCTGGTTCCCTCCAGCCAGCACTAGGAAGCCAGGCTGGGTCTGGGAGGTGGTTTTTAAAAAGACAAGGGGGTGCCTTACCCCAGCTGCTGTAGCGGACCTAGACCGGGACTTAACCCAAGGGGATTTCTCACCCTGGAGGCTGGATGGAAGCCAAGATCAAGGTGGGGCACCCCTCGGGCTAATGAAGCCTGCCTTGCTGCGTGGCCACCTCCCACTGTGTCTGTGATGTCTTTTCTTTAAAAAAAAAAAAAAAACGAAAATGAAAAGGGCCAACTGGTGGTGTAGTCTGGGCGAGTGCTTCGAGTCCTGGGCCTGATGTCTGAGAAACACACTAGGCATGTGTGCATGATGCCCAGAATCCCAGAAGTAGAGAGAAACCGCAGAAGGGGTTGTGGCATGGCCAACCCCCACCCACTGGGAGCGCACATGCCCCCTGGCAGTTTTCAAAGTGAAGATTAAGAGCCAGACAGGTGGTAGGGTGGTTAAGGCTGCTGAATCCCACATGGCTGACTGCAGTGCAAGTCTCAGACAGGGCAGCTTTAAAAACATGCTATGCGTGTGCCTGAGCACACGAGCATGTGGGCGTGCACCCAGAATCCCAAGAGAAGAATGGAGGAGAAGGGACTGCTGTGTGGTCATCTCCCGGGGGACGCTTTCTCTCTTCTGTCTCTGGCAAGCACAGGGATCGCATAGCAAACTTCTAAGAAAAACATTAAAAAATAAATAAATAAAAAGGTTATTTCTTTGGCGAGTGAGATGGAGAGACAGCACCCCTGTAGACCCTGATGCTATGATCCCCCAGCCTCCCCAGCCCTGACCATGGGCATGCGTGTGGGACCGGGAGCCTCGTGTGTCAGCTTCGCAGAGCATCACACTTTACCACCGCACTGCCGTGTGGCTCCCAGCATCCCCTCTTAGGCTGTTGGGAATGCAGGGCTGAGGTTTGCTCTGGGAGCTCGTGAGTGGTTGGTCTGTCTGGGCTTTGTGCCGATGAGGAGACAGCACACTTGGAGAACAAGTGCTTCAGGGACAGTCTGAGTCTCCCCAAGCCTTGCTGCACTTGCCTTGATTCCTTGAGGGGACACATCTGTCCCAGCAGAGGAGCTCAGACTAGGTCCTGGCCACAGTGGCCCGGATGCCGGGAGGGGATCCACACTGTGTGGGTGGGCCAGCCAGCCTGAGGCATGTGCTGAGGAATTGTCCTTCCTGCAACCGCACAGCCCCAGTAAGGTCTGCAGTCTGGCCGGCCTGGCGGCTAGCTCACTGGCCACTGGCCTGGTGGACTGCTTTGCTTGAGATGCATCTCCCACAAGTGGACCTGGGTCCTGCTTGGTAGAGAGAGCTGGCCAGGCAATATGAAGGGCAGCGGGTCTGGCAGGCATGGCCTCTGCTTCTTGCCGGCTCCTCAGGCTGTGCCAGCTGGTTGGACGTAGGAGAGAGCGCCATTGCATCCGCAGAGGGTGGCAGCGTGGCTCGCTGGTCTCTGTTGGTGGCTTGGGCCTGTCTGGAAAGGACAGGTTGGCAGGCGGGTCCCTGTGGCTGCAGTCATGCCCTCAGGGGAGCTGCTGGAAGGCAACCTGGAGGCCTTGGAGGAAGGAGAGACTGGTCCAGCCGTAAACATCTGAGGGGCACACGGGGTGATGCAGTGTCGCCAGGTCACACCCACCCAGGCAAGAGGAAGGAGCCCTGCCGTTGGGAGGGGTGTGGACTTGAGCTAGGGGCCATGTCAGGGCCCAGACCTTCTCTGCCCATGGAGGCCTGCCTACACGTGCACATGGCGTCACTGGGGTCAGGGCCAGCGCTGCTGCAGGCCCTGGGCCTCTTTAAGAGGAGCTGTCGCTCCAGCCCTCGGGCCCCCCTGGCCCCTCAGGCACAGGCACACCCTGGGCGGGTCTCAGAGGCCTCAGGGTTTGGCCAATCTGAGTGCTCCGCAGGACGGAGGTGACTGACCGCAAGCCCGCGGCCACCACACAGGGAGAGGGAAGGGCTGCGGCCGACGTGGTGGCCTCCCATTTGCTGGCTGGTGGTCGAGCCAGGATGTGTGTTCAGAAGTTCCTGGTGCCTTGGCAGCCCTGTGCCGCTCGCAGGTGAGAGGCAGGCCCTCCCTTCCCGGGCAGGGCTGTCCTGGGTCTGTGGCCGCCTTCTGTTTATGTTCCGTGGGTGCCTGCCTCGGGAGCACCTCCTTCGTGAGGAAGTGGGAGGCTCGGGCCGGCTGCCTGTGGGGCGTGCCCTGGCAAGGCCAGCCTTCTGCTTCCTGGATGTGAACCCAGGGGTGGGTGGGGACCTCTGCTTAGGAGGCCAGGGGCCCTGAGGGTGCCAAGGACTATGGCAGAGGCCACCTTGGGGTTGGCTCTTTAGTCCCAGCTGACCCCCAACTCAAGGGCTGTTGTGCCCTTCAGCTGATCTGTCCACCTCCTGGTCTGGCCCAGCAACCTCGCGATGGGCTGGGCTGTACCCTCCCCTGTCCCATGCGCCCCGGCCCTGACCTCTGAGCCGCCCGAGACGCTATGCTGAGTTCTCGCCCCACCTGTGGACAAGGAACCAAGCTCAGAGGCGCAGTGATTTGGGGTGTCGGGGGCCCCTGAGCATCTAGGCTGTGCCTGCAGGGGAAGGAGATGGGGGCACTCACACTCCTTGTCACTTAGTTCCCTCCTGTAAGATGGGCCCAGCCATAGCGAAGCTTAGTGACAGCCCCAGCCCCACCTGCACTGCCTCAGCAGCATTCCCGAAGTCCTGGCCTATGCTGTGTCTCACCCGAGTGGTCAGCATTGACAGCCATGATTTGAACCGGCTTCCCAAGTCGGGCCCCAAGCGCGCCCTGTGGCCCTTTCCCTCCTGGCTCTGAGGCTGCCCGAGGCATGTTGTGGCCTGGAGGCCCTGATGCTGACTTTGCAATCTCGCTCTGCCTTGGCTCTGGCCAGGAGGCCAGGAACAGCCTCGTGGAAGGGCAGGGCACGAACAGGCCCCTGAGCCCCTCAGGCCGGGATCTGGCCGTGCCCAGCTGCCCCAGTTGGCAGGTTCAAGTCCTGCCCTCAGGCTCTCTGTGTCTCTGGCTACGTCTGTGCTCTGTTCTGGCTTGGTACCCCCCACCCCCAGCCCCTGGAGCTCCTGGTCCCTTAGAGAGACGGTGAGCTGCCCTGGCATGACCAGGCCTCTGCGGGCCGTCCCAGGCCTCTTCAGCTGGAAACAGCCCCAGCTCCTGTGACACCAAGGTCTCTGTGGCCTGGCCCCCCTCTGCCTGCGGGCACCACACTTGTTGCCCATACCTCGGTTACCCAGGGGCTGCGGTTTCTTTTACTCTTTTTTTTTTTTTAAAGGTTCTTGCCATAGGGCATGCTCGCTGGAGAGACCAAGACACAGGGAAAATGAGAAGTCAACTCTCCGGAGGGGTGGCCACAACGCAACCCCTCCTCCGTCCTCTTCTTAGGATCTTGGGTGCACACACTCTCCGTGTGAGTTTCAGGCTGCCAGACCAGTCACGGGTGCCCCACGTCGTGGGTGCCTTTGAAGTGGCCTTGTATGGAGGCCTTTAGGTGTATACCACAGGGAGAGCAGCCCCTTACCTGTCCTGAAATAAGCCCCCACTCACCCTGGTGCCGGGCGAGAGTCAGGCCACCCCAGTGCTGCTCGGACCCTGTGCTGCAGCGATACTCCATCCCCAGCCTTGCTCACGGCGGGAACTCTGCCTGCCCTGGACCTCGGCAGCCTACAGCAGGCAGGAGTCCCTGGCAGTGTCGAGGTAGGGAGGCCGAGGTCCCGCCCAGTGAGCACCTAAGCCTGGTGAGCTGGAGATGCCCGACCCAGCACTGGGCCGAGTGACAACAGGTACCCTTCCCTTCTCAGGCTTCTCCGTCGCTGCACAAGCCACTGCCCAGTCATGGAGGGAGAGGAGGAGCAGCCAGTCCAGGAGGTAAGGGACTGGGAGCCACGCAGCTTTTGCACTGTAGCCGCACAGCGGAGTCTGGGGCCCTGGAGTCCCTCGGGCTTCTCCGGCAAGAACTCCGCAGTCAAGGTTTTCTAGAGGGAAGCACCTCTTAGGAGGAGGGGTCTGAGGCAGGGTAACCCTGTAGGTGGTGGGCGGAAAGAGAGCTCAGGCTGCCGGGGAGGGCGTCTTGGGGAGCACGTGGACACTGCTTGAGCCCCTCCACCTGCAGGCCAGCGTGGAGGCCGTTGTGACGTCAGAGGCTTCAGCAGCGGTGCCCAGGGTGCGTTCAGGAGAACCGCAGAACCTGTGTATGTCTGCCCGGGGTCTGGGCTGCTGGGGCGGGCACGGAGACCATGGTAAGTGGGCAGCCCCAGCCAGGACCAGGTGCTGCAGGACTCAGCTGCCCAGGGGCGCTGTGTCTTCCGCCCACCCACCTGGCTGTGGGGAGCCTTCTGAACGCCACGAGCTGTGGCAGCTGCCCAGGGAACGGGGACTCTTGAGCTCAGAGGTCTCAGTGGGACAGGAGCCCTGCCTGACCTGCCGTCCTGCCGTCCTCCAGCCCTGCACAAAGCCACAGCCCTGGTGGGGACGCCAACCTGCCTCCTTGGAGCCTGCCCTCGTCCCACGTCCCCAGGCCCTGGTAGCACAGCCTGTGGGCATGATGAAGGCAGAGGCTTGGATGTGGCTGGCAGCAAGCCCAGTCACCCAGGCCAGCCGTGCACATGCCCCCCGATGTCGGGTCTGTTCAGACATTTCCCAGCCCACATCCGTGCAGCCCTGAGAGCCTAGAGAGCCTGTGGGTCCTGGGCTACCAGAGTGTGGGGGACCCTCCCCGCGCTGGGCTTCAGCCCCTGCTGTCGTTCTAGCTGACGTGGATGCCTTCAACCTGCTCCTGGAGCTGAAGCTGACACGGCGGCGTGAACAGCCCGACCTGCCTCGCACTGTCACCCAGCTGGTGGCCGAGGATGGGAGCAGGGTGTACGTGGTTGGCACAGCCCACTTCAGTGATGACAGCAAGAGGGACGTCGTGAAGGTGAGCGTCCCCTCCCAGATGGGCCCCAGCCTGCTTCTGTCTTCTCAGCACCCAGAAAGCTGTGCTTGCTTATCCCAGCAAGAGAGCCTGCTTCACGACTCGCTTACTACTTAGAGAGCTGAGCTGTGCCCCCAGCAGGGCGTGAGCCAAGGCCTCGGGGTGGGCCTGTGGGCACGAGCGGCTGCGCCCGACCCGGCCTCGCTGTGCCGTGACAGACCATCCGGGAGCTGCAGCCCGACGTGGTGGTTGTGGAGCTCTGTCAGTACCGGGTGTCCATGCTGAAGATGGACGAGCGGACCCTGCTGCGGGAGGCCAAGGAGATCAGCCTGGAGAAGCTGCAGCAGGCCGTGCGGCAGGTGTGTGCGCGGGCAAGAGGGCAGGCGCCGCCCCACTCAGCTGCATACCTGGTCACAGAGGCTAAGTGGGCACTGCCTATCCAGGCACCCTCCCGCTAGGCGTCGGGAAAGGGAGGACCTCATCTGTCAGGTCCCAGACAAGGGCTGGCTGGGGTGGCGAGCCCGATCTTCCTGCCCACCCGTCCTGCCCTGATCCCAGGCAGCACTCCCCACTGGGCTGGCATGTCGGGCCCTCGCTGTCGTGGCGCCATCCCCTGTTCAGGATTTCCCAGCATGCTCCCTGACCCAGGCTGGACCTGCTCTTGGGTTCTGAGTCTCGCGAGACCTGTTCAGACTGTCTCGTCAGGGCAGCCCATCTGTCCAGTAGTGTCTGGGCGGGCCAGCCCACCCCAGAGCCAGAGCTCAGGACAAGGTTGGCGTCCAGGGTGGGGGCAGGGCTGGGGCGGCAGGGCAGCCTGGTGCCTCGACCTCCAGCCCCTCTGGAGGTTGGGATGGGATATCTGACCCAAGGCCCCTAGTGTCAGTCTGGGTTAGCCTAGACTGTCTAGTGAGCAAGAGCACTCGTGGTCAGGACCCTCCCAGGGTTGGGGTCACTGCCGGGGTAGCTGCTAGTGTCACTGCAGAATGTGCAGGGTATGGTGGTCCCCACAGCCACTTGGAGACCCCAGCTCGAGGTGGTGGGGTCTGTCTGGGTGCCTTGTTGCCCTTCCGGGGATACCTCTGGGGGCCGACCTGCCACTCTGGCCCAGCCAGCTGGGCACCACCAAAGATGGTCAGCCTTGAGCTGTGGCCAGCACGGAGATGCCTGGCCTGCGTGCCGCTGCGGTTGGCTCTGCGGTAGACGTGGTATTCGAGGGGCCCTGTGCCGGGCCCTGGCCTCCCTGTCTTCCCAGGATCGGTCTGTGCCCCCCAACACACCGTCAGGCCGCCCTGGCAGGGTGACAGGCCCCAGGGCCATTGCCCGCCTCACACGGGGCATTTCTTCTAACAGGAGATGTGTTTGAGAGGTGGCCAATGTGGCCAGGTCTCTGCTCTGCCCCTTTGCATACCTTGGGTGGCACAGAGCTGAGGACCTGGGCCGTGTGCAGAATAACACCCCTGCCCCTGCCCTGCACCAGTGTCCTGGGGCCCACCCTGCCCCTGTACTGGCCGCTGACCCAGCCCCTCCCTGCAGAATGGACTCATGTCGGGGCTTATGCAGATGCTGCTGCTGAAGGTGTCTGCCCACATCACCGAGCAGCTGGGCATGGCCCCCGGTGGCGAATTCAGAGAGGCCTTCAAGGAGGTGGGTGCTGGCAAGGCCAGGGGCTGTGTGGACGTGCTCCTGGTGAGGGGTGGTGGAAGCTGCCCGTGCCCACAATTCTTCCTGGCCTCTGCTCCAGGCCAGCAAGGTCCCCTTCTGCAAGTTCCACCTGGGCGACAGGCCCATTCCCGTCACCTTCAAGAGGGCCATCGCCGCACTCTCCTTCTGGCAGAAAGTCAAGCTGGCCTGGGGCCTGTGCTTCCTGTCAGACCCCATCAGGTAGGCCATGGGCCCCAGGTAGCCTGCGGCCGTGCAGCAGGTCCAGGGTGGCGCCCAGCTGCCCGCGCAGCTGTCCGCCCTCTTGCCAGGCCGGACCTGGCCTCCGCAAACATGGCCCTTGTGGCCCCTTCCGCCGTAAATCCCAAGCAAATGGTGCCGTGGCCCTGCCTTGTGTCAACAGCAGCCACCTCCGGCTGCCCCCACCCGGCCCACGGGGTTGGCAGCTGTGCCCTCTGCCTGCAGCAAGGACGACGTGGAGCGCTGTAAGCAGAAGGACCTGCTGGAGCAGATGATGGCTGAGATGATCGGCGAGTTCCCAGACCTGCACCGCACCATCGTCTCCGAGCGCGACGTCTACCTGACCTACATGCTGCGGCAGGCCGCCCGGCGCCTTGAGCTGCCACGCGCCTCTGACGGTAACCACCGCCTGGGGCGCGGGCTCTCTGGGATGCAGTCCAGCGACTGGGCACTGATCCCCGGCCCTCCCACAGCCGAGCCCAGGAAGTGCGTCCCCTCCGTGGTTGTGGGAGTCGTGGGCATGGGCCATGTGCCCGGCATCGAGAAGAACTGGAGCACCGACCTCAACATCCAGGAGATCATGACGTGAGCAGCGCCTGCCCCAGCCCCGGGGAGAGTGGGCCCTGGTGTCCGCACATGGCGGTGACGCCGCGGGGGGCTCGAGCACAGGCCGGAGCCACAGCCCACCCCTCCTCCCCCAGCGTCCCCCCGCCGTCCATCTCCGGCAGAGTCTCCCGGTTGGCCGTGAAGGCTGCCCTCCTTGGCCTGCTGGGCTACGGCCTGTATTGGATGGGCCGCCGCACCGTGAGCCTTCTCTTGGCACTGCCTGCCGCACAGCACTGCATCCAGAGGGCATCTGCCGCCCGGCCGGACCAGTAGGACGGCACTGCAGCACCGAGGGAGCGCCGAGCAGGGCCAGCATGGGAGGGAGCCCCCGGGGCCGAGCCCACCCAAGCCCTGTGCCACCCTGTGGGGATCCGGGGCCTCACAGGCCCTCCCTCCAGGCCTCTCTCAGTCCTCCCAGCCCACCCAAAGAAAGGGTTATCTTACTGAGCTCAGGCCTCCCAATAGACAGACACACAGACACAGACACGCACACAGACATGCACACAGACACACACACACAGACATACAGACACGCACACACACAGGCGCAAGCTGCTGGGCCTGGCCAGGCCCTCCTCACTGTGCCTTCTCTGCTGGCGGCAGCACTGGCCCGGGAGCACCCTGTGCCGGGTCCCGGGGCCAGCAAGTTGGGAGGGCTGGGCGCCTGTGCAGCTCTGTGGCCTGGGCTTGTAGCAGCTGGCCCACCTGGACTTGCCTGCAGCAGCCCTGACCCCAGCTCTGCCTGCAGAGGTTGCGTGTTTGTGACTTTTTTAAGTGTCTGGAAATTTTTTACTCAGGTAACTTTAACTTCAAACAAAAAAACAAAACTGAAGCAAATGTCAGGAAATACAAGCCTTAAATCTGGTTAGGACAAAGAGGAAGTCTTCTTGTTTCTGTCCCCGTGTCCTGTGTAGTAAGAGGGCCAACAGGCCAGCTCCAAGGACCTGGGGCACTTGCTGTACCAACTGCCTCAGTGGGGCTGCAGGGCTCGAACCTGCTGCTTGTGTGTGGGACAGGCAGTGCCCAGGTCCCCAGGGGACAGATGGTGTGTGCGCCGGGAGGCGCCCTCTGGGGACCCGCCATCACATGTGTTGTCTGGGGCCC